ATTTCCACTGCTTTAACACACCCTGAAAAGCTGCTAGAGCAGCAACACCCTTTTGGAAATCATTATTTCACTGGCCGAACTTAGAGGGTGGGAATTTTCCAGTGAAGGCTGAGTTCCTTTCAAGACTGTTGCTATCCAAGAAGCCTCCTTTGACTCAAGGGACTGCAGTTAGAAATGAAAATGTGAACAATGAAATAAACAGTTTACAGGCTTTTGTGGGAGTCATGGTCAACCGTTAAAGGCATCTGCTTCCCGCTGTCACTGCTTGTCTGTACTTTTATATTATCTTCTCTTGCAGCGCTCTATGTTTATATATCCTCACTTAATACAGTAAAATTCCTGTTACCACAACTTAATTTGAATTAGCCCAAACCAGTGACTGCTAGAAAGTTCTTTATGTTCCCTGGGGTTAACCGAATGTTCCCCAAACCCAGAGCAAAGCGGCAGTGTATGCAGCATAAAACTGCAATATCATAGTAGTTACATTTTAAGAACATTGCCTAGTTGCAAACAGAGCATGAATTTTGGCTTGGGGAGTAATGCAAGCTATTACCCAAGAAAATCAGTGTGCTCTCTCACAAAGTCTTTATTTCTTTGGGGTTTTTCCTCACTCTGAAATAAGTTGGTTCAGACTGGAAGTACTGCGTTTTCAAACTATCAGTTCCTCAATGGTATTGTGTGTTGTTTCCCCAAGGCTAAGCTGCCAAAGAGGGGCCAATATGCTGCCCATTTTCTGTAAGGGTGTTGGCACTGCAGGGGAAACCACGTTGCGTTTGTACGTGAACCTAGAACAGGTGAAGAGCAGGAGTACTGCATCCAGTTTTGGGGTCTACAATTCAAAAGGGATGTGGAGAAGCTTGAGAGAGTCCAGAGAAGAGCCACGCGCATGATCAGAGGTCAGGAAAGCAGACCTTACGACGACAGGCTGAAAGCCATGAGGCTCTTTAGCCTGGAAAAGCGCAGGCTCAGGTGTGATCTGATGGCCACCTATAAGTTTATGGGGGTGACCATCAGTACCTGGGGGAACGTTTGTTCAGCAGAGCGCCCAAGGGATGACGAGGTCGAACGGTTATAAACTACTGCATGACTGTTTCAGGCTGGACATAAGGAAGAATTTCGTTACTGTCCGAGCCCCCAAGGTCTGGAACAGACTGCCGAAGGTGGTTCAAGCACCTACACTGAACACCTTCAAGAGTAAATTGGATGCTTATCTTGCTGGGCTCCTATGACCCCAGCTGACTTCCTGCCCTTTGGGTGGGGGGCTGGACTCAATGATCTTCCAAGGTCCCTTCCAGCCCTAATGTCTATGAAATAATGCCAGGAGAGATCAGTTTCTGTGATATATGGAGCTGGGAAGTACAGCACTATTGGTGAAAATGCCCCTGAGACCTTCCCCTCTCTTTGCACAACAGAAATGATGCAGAATAAGGCAGTTAGAACTTGGCACCCTCAGTAATAACCTACCCTTCTTTACTACTGGTCATCTAAAGCTCTTACAAAACTCTTCTCCCAAGACTAAAACCATAAGCCTTCTTGCTGTGGTGGGTCAGTGTTATCCTTCCTATTTTATAGATGGGGAAGCTAAAGCACAAAGGGCTTACAGGACTTCTGTATGGTCAAAGATCCAGTGCGTGACAGAGCCACAACTAACATCCTGGAGTCCCATTAGTTGCTCCAGTAAAATCTGAATTTTATCCACCAATACTGCACTGTAAGGTGTGGGGATTGACACACCTTACATCAGCAGGTGCCTAAAATCCCCCAAGGTAGATAGTGTTTTGAAGAGAGATCACTTGTTTTGGATTTGGCAACTCCTGGAAATTTTGCCCTAGGGAAAAAATATAGTCTCGGCCACAAAACAGTCACAACAACCATGAATGGGTCTTCAGATGGCTACTTGGCCTGTAGGATGGCACAGAAGAAAAGACCTGGCAGGTGATATTCAACCATCAGCTGCAATCTCTGCACTGATGAGGTGCTGTCTGCTGTATTTCTAGTTACTGGCAAGGGAGTAGAGTGTAGTCCCATGTTTTCAACCAGTAAAAGGAGCCAAATGAAAGGGCCTTGGGAGATCAAAAGTACATTTATTTATGGTGACTTGGAACTATGGCAAGTAGAATTCAGGTCATGGGAGACATTGCTGTTGTGTTAAATAGTCCCATCAACTGAGTGGTGGAAGAGCTGGACTCTGCTTTAATTACTGCACCCTTCTTCCTCTTCTGCATTTTATGAGAACTCTGCGAGGGTGAAGCAGCATGTAGCCAGCAAACTCTTAAACCTTCAGAGGTGAAACGGAGGGCATCAGGTGAATTCTGGCCCTTCCTCCCTTGTTCTGTCCAGGTTAGGTTGACCCCTGTCTTATAAAGCCAGCAGGCCAAACAGGTGGAAGGTTATAGGCAACTATGATGGGTAGGTTTATTTGTCTTCCGCTTTTGCATGAAACAGAGGCAGAAAGTAGAGAGGAGGAGTGTGTGAGTCTGTCCAGCTCATCTTCAGCTCACACAGGGAAACATGTCTAGCAAAGTCCAACTCCCAGCTGCAACAGAATGGGAGGAACACTGCTTTGTGTTTTCTGCTTTTCCACCTATTCCTCACACCCGTTCCCTACTTGGTCAGGTTCAAGATTCAAAGCCTGATTTGTCTCTCCAGGTTGCAGAGCTGCTTGACATAGGGAAAGAAGAAAAAAAAATCATGCCATGTACGAGAGTCCCAAATGGTTGGCCTGAATGCCTTTCCTCTGTTTAGGGGAACACATCTTATGAAATTCATACAGCTTTCAAGATGGTCCTTTTCCAGCTTACCATCAGTCCAGCTCTGATCTCATGCTGACCCTGTTTGAAGTGGAGGGAAACTGCTGACTCTGAATCCTGATGTGTTTCTGATAGAATAAAGAGCTCAAGAATGGGCCTGTGCACTATACCCTACTAAATACACTGTACGTCGAAAACTAAATTTCCAGTGCTTAGATTTTAGGGAAGTAGGTACTTTCTTAAACCATTTGAATTCCTTTTAAAAAAAGTGTCTCAAATGCCAGCCAAAAGTAGTATTTTCATCAGGGCCATCACTCTACTTGAGCTAAAGAATACATCTGAAACTGTTACGCTTTCGTGCAGAAAATATATAGCCCAAACAAACCAAAGTTCAAAGTTGACTGTAGCCCACACTTATTTTTTTTTTTCCAGGTATAATTTTTCTTCCAGTAATTTAGGTCACTATTATGCAAGTCCCTTGTTTGTGGCTACCAGCCCAGTTTTAAAAGCAACTTCTAATTGTAGGTGACTCATTTCTTTTTTAGAAAGCCCAGCTGAGGAAGCTAAGGTCAATGGAGATTCTGCTAGCGCTGAAAATCAAGGTGTTGGTGTCTTTAAATAGGGATCCCAAAAACAGAAAGGACCAAAAATCAGAGTGCTTTTGGAAATGTGACCTTACGGTGGTCTAAACTGGGGGATGAACATTGCACTTCTGGCTATCTATGTCCACTCTCAAATATATAGGTCAGGTTATGACTGGGCTGCAAATCTGACCCTAACATACGGCCATTTTACAGAAAGAAACCTTCCTTTTCCTGACTAGCAGGGTGTGAACTGGAATCTCGCGTCTTTCTACTCCTGCAACCTCCAGACTCTGAAAATGTTTGGACTCTAACCCAGGTCTGGATCCTGTGCCTTAGACTGGGTGAAGCCTGGAACTTGAGAGAGGTTCTTGTTCTGGACTGCAGGAAAATTGTGAGACGAATCAGGAGTCAAATTTGGGTCCAGTTCTGTTTGCATCACATGCCTTGTGTGTCGCACAAGCTCCGATGCTTTTCTTCCGTTTCCCACTTACCGTTCTTAGAGAGAGACTGTGAAATATAAACAACACAAGTAGCTATCTTCAGGAGGATAGGGCCAGCAATGATGTGTTTGATTTGGCTCGCCGCAGTTGTTGTCAAACTTTCATACTGTGGGACACTTCTAAGATTGCCTTACAGATCATCTCCCTTCCCAGCCTTTCACTCCTGAACCCTCCGCTTCTTTTTGGCTTGACAACATGAAGGAGTCATTTTAGGACAGTCTTAAAGAGACTAGGTGAAAAATAAAAGCCCTGTTAGTGAGGCAAACTGGTTATAACAGGCAGTGGTATCTCCAGGCAGGCTATGGGATGTGGGGTGCCTCTGCAAACTGAAAACAGGGTAGTCACATCTACACGCTGTTTTGGCTTCAAGTGCGCTAATGAGCACTCAGGGTTAAGGACACATCTGTGCAGTACATTGACCATGGTCAGCAGTGTCCTCAGGCACCCTACATTGCTCCATGTTGGCTAAATTAGGAGGGGGTGTAGCTACGCACTTTGAGTGCCACAGGTTGGTTAATTAGCATAGATGCTGCTGCCTGTTCTGGTAAACGTGCTGTGTAGGCATTTCCAAATTCACTACTAAGTAGGGAGTTGTGTGCTCCCTTTATCACCCCTGTGGTGTTCCTCAGTAGCTGTCTGTCTTTCTCCCAGGGTACAAGATTTGCTATTTCTTGAATTTGAATGTGATATTTCTTGAGTTTGCCTCCAGTGTTGCACTCCAACATGCCATTCACTATCATTTAATTTCTCTTGGTTCTGTAAACACTTTTCATGGTACGAAATTATCAAAAGAAGCCTCACAATGATGAAGAGAGGGTATTTAAGATTGCATATGTTTCTGCAGGTGAAAAGGATCTATTCCCATGCTTATCACTGAGATATTTAAGTACTGGATCAGTTAACTGATGTTGCATTTGATACATCCACTGATATTGCAGGTGTATTCTTAAAGATGCTTTAAAATATAGGTCCTATCATCTGGGCATAAATATTAAGTGCGTATTATTTACAAGAAAACTTGAAATCCAGGTGATGCACAGGGATCTGTTCAATTTTTGTATCATTTCAGTGTAAATTTTTCCCTTCAAAGGTGAATTTCATGAAGCTTCCCACGGCTACCTTACAATTGCAAAAATATTTAACCTTGCTGTTTCATCCTTTTCCAGATTACTCCTCTGCTGTGCAGAAATTCTCCCAGACTCTGCAGTCCTTTCAGTTTGACTTCATTGGGGACACGCTAACAGATGATGAGATTAATATTGGTAAGTGCTTTTCCTGTCATTGCAGATTTGAATTTACTTATACAATATTCTCTTTCTTACCAGGAACCTGCATAACAAGAGTCTAGAGTTGATATGTGTGTCCTAGTTCTTGCTCAAAAATAGAAGCCATGTTTCTGCGTCCCCATTCTGTACATAGCACGTGCAGCTTATTGTTTGGGTTACACTGCCTTGTAGCACAGTTTGTAAGTGTACAAACATCGATGTTTAGAATTTGACATTCAGATTTCAGTAGATTGAGTTTGATGCAACATCTTTTACAACTCTGACTTCCCCCCAGCCGAATGACCTGTAATAGCTTCTCAACTGCAGTGCCCCTGGGTGACCTTCAATGTTATCCCCTGGGTTCTTACTCCCACTCTACCTGTAGTAGAAAGGATGACTTGGAACATTGGTCATGGGCCCTGAACCAGACAAGTAGTGCTTCTAGATCTAAATTTGCTTTAAATTGTTTCATAGCTAGCTGCCCTGGTGTTCTGAAAACTGTAAGCCTCTGACCCACATGGAAAGCAACTAGTATGTGCACAGTTACATAAAAAAGCGCCCCCCCCTCAGTGTATCTGTAAAACATCAGTTTTGTGGAGGCAGCCTGTGGTGCATGGAGCTTTCCTGTTCCCAACGCCTCCATTTCTGGGTTAGGTTTCCATGTAGTTTAGTTTCCTGCCAACCCAATGAATTCTTTGTAGGTTAAACATCTGCCTGATGCATCCAGAGAGCTAAAACTATAGCACTAAACTTCCTAAAAAAGGCATTTTTTGAATTCGTCTGTCTTTTGGATTATCCGCTGCGGTTGAGCTAACAATTTTGAAGTCTTGGAACTGTTGTGGTGACACCCGAACAAGGGCTGTGAAAACACACAGGAATTTCTTAATGCTGTTGGAGAACTTGGCAGGCTGCAGGAATTAGGACAGGAACTGCCCGCTGATCTGCTTGATTCATATGAGCAGATGGGATCATCAGAAGTAATGTCATGCAGCCCAATTCTGCAAAATACTAGTAAGCTTCCACTCCCAGGAGACGGTACTCGGGATTGAGTACATCGACAGGAAGATGGCCAGGCTACTCTTGGACACTCAGGCCAGATTAATGTTATTTTTCAAACTTCCCATTTAACTGTGCCCACAAGACTGACCTTCAGCAAGAGGAGAGTCAAATAAAGACAAAGCTCAGTTCTTTTAAAATGCTTTACTTTAGACTTTTAGAGCAAATTGTGGCTTGCCTTCCGGACACTGATTTTCCTTTAGTGTAAAACTCACAGGTGAAATCTACTGGAAATGAGTCAGAGTCCAGCTATAGGAGAAAGAGGTATTGAATTTCTGAGCTCTTCTAAATAATGAACCACAAAACTGCATATAAATCAACCCAACTGGGAACGGAAGGATCTGAAGCAAAGAGCCATCCAAGAAGCAAGTGTCTCTTTCCTGTTAGTCTAAAAGGAAGAAAAGTTTCATTTTCCCAGCTCAGAGTGAATGTGGAGCTTGTCTGGCCATTACTCTGGAGTGGGTCTGGAGGCAAAAATACAGCGACTCTTCATCTGTTTGCTTGGGGAAGCTTGTATTGCTGCTGCATCTGCTCTATAGAGCACCTGTTCTATGGATAAAGAGAGCTTTAGTCTACAGAGCTATCCTCCTGGCACCTTTTCCCCATCCTAGGTGCACTGGAATAGAAAAGCACTTGTTCTGGGTGTTTTGGGGAAGGGCAAGAAGGATTAACATGAACATAATGTGGATGTAGCAGCAATATATAGTTCTTTAGTTGCAAAACAGCTTATCCTTTAGTAAGCCAATCTTTTCTGATCCACTGGCACGAGAAAGTGAGATATGTGTTTTCATTTGTTTCTCTTCCACACCAGCTCCTTCAGTCTGACCCAGCTCAAAAAACTAAAAAGCCTTCTCAAAAAGTCTTTTCTTTATTTTTGCATAATAAAAGCAGCTATGTCACTGATATCTCAGCAACGACTTTAATCTTTTTACCTTTAGAAGTCTCCTCACGTGGCTGGGATCTGGAAAGATTCTCGTAAGATTGGATCTAATAATTTGGAGGTCTTTCACAGAATGTAGGACTAAAAATGCATAGAATATTTTCTATTAAACTTCAGAGGAATGTAAGCATAATATGTGAACAATGTTGCATTTATTGCATGGGCAGACAGTAAAGGTATTGCTCTTTACACATGCAGAAAATGTACTAGGCCAAAGTTACCACTCTTGATTTGTAAAATAATAAAGCTTACTACTTCTAACAGGACTCAGGAAGAAGACATACGCTGGGGTTGTCTCTTGCAGAGGGTACTTTCCCCTTTGGGGAAATGGCTAGTGATATGTGCTGATTGCATAATAATGTAAATCAGACATAACTGAGTCACCAAACAGGTTCAGCACAGCAGTATACAGCCACCTCTCCTCCCATAGCTACAGCAGAGAGGCCAAAACACTCTGAAAAGACCCAGAGAAGCAAGCAGCTCTGCTGCTGAGAAGGCTGTTATGGGACAAGGGGAATTTTGCACCCATTTTAGAGAGCTCTTAATAGAGCCTCCCAGATGTACTACTGGGCACAGATTTGGCTCCACCATTACAGGATGAGCCATTTCCATTCTAATTAACAGATTTTGATCAGACATGGGGCTTGCATGGCATCTGTAAATAAGCAGTTCACTTAAGGAAAGTTTTGTTTTTCCCTATGGCTTATTTTCTTTTTATGTCCTTATTGGATATTTAGGTCTTATCTACTCTGAAAGATTTGGAGATGCCTGGGAAATAGTGAAATTACAGCACCATAAGAAACAGAAAGAGGAAGGGAGCTCTAGTCAGACTGTTTTGAAATTATACCAAACATTTAAAAAAATGCTGAATTAGACTCTGCTAAACCACAAGTTTTTTGAAGTAATATAGGCTGTAAGGATGTCATTTTGTTTTCTGAGCATGGGATTTCTTTGGTTTTGTTTTGTTTTTCTTTATTAATTTCTCAAGGGTTGACATTTTTTCCTGCTCTTTTTCCACAAGATAGACTAGATTTTTTTTCCATGTGCCTTGGCAAACTATGACTTTAATACATCAAGAGACTTGCAATCAAATTGTAACAACTGGCAGATTTAGTATAAGTCTGTAAAGCAACCAGATTGTAAGAACAACAAAACAACTTTTCATCCCTGCGTTATGCTCTTTTTTTGCTGCTTTATGGAATATACTACCACTTCAGGGATTTTCTGCATCCATCTGTGATGATTGCTTTCATTCTCCTTGAATATATGGATACTTCAGATTTCACATAGCCATGGGTGACCATACCAAGTGTTAACATGCCTCAGTTTGGAGACCAATAGTGGAATCATCAAGCCAGTGTGTCTTTAGGGATTTAAAGCTTTCAATTTTTGGAGAAAAACCCAAATCATGGACTAATCAAAAAGATTGTGTTTTGATAACAAAAGCTGAATTAGTGCATCAGGAGGTGGTGATTTTTCTCTTTCTCTCTGTCTCAGCAACTCTACAGAAAATCCCACTACAGTACCTAGCATACTCATTCATTTGCCATGCAGAAGCTGCAACATCTGCCTTTTTAACAAAAGAACAGCCAGATTTCTTGAGTGGCTGCCTGAAAATATGTATATTCCTCTGAATGATGGGGTGAGCTGTCAGCTTTCTGTGAGGCCCAGGACTGCACGCTGCCGACTTGCATACACAGGTGTACAAGCCTCCTTGCATACCTGGATACTCCCATGGTTCATTAGCAGCCCTGCTTGGGAAGTGCCAAACCACAAAGAGCAGTTTTAGAGCTACTTCTCTGGAGGCTCTCCCTTTTGAGAGCTCTTCTCTCTGTTTTTTTTTAAAAGCCAAATGTTTTCTTGAAATTCTCTTTGTGGGGCTAATTGGCTACTTTATCTATGGATTCAGAGTCTGGGCTATAAACAAGCTAGGAGTGAATGTAAATAGAGGACAATAGCAATTATGTGGCACATAGGGAAGTCATTAACTACACGGCCCTGTATGTTATGCCACATAGAATCACAGAAATGTGGGGCTGGAAGAGAAATGAAGAGACTCGGAGGTAGGATCAAGTGCATCTTCTTTCCCATCAGACCTTCGTCTTCAACAGATGTTTGTCTGACTTGTTCTTACAATCCTTCAGTGACTGGATTTCCACAGTTTCTCTGGGTGATCATTCCAGTGTATCAGTAGTCTAGTAAAAAGGAAGTTCCTCCCCTAAAATCTAACCTCCTTTGCTTCAAATTAAACTAGTTTCTTTTTTTAATTCTGTCTTCAGGGGAAACAGTTAATAGATTTATAGATTTCATAGACACTAGGGCCGGAAGAGACCTCGGAAGATCATCTAGTCCAGCCCCCTGCCCAAAGGGCAGGAAGTCAGCTGGGGTCATAGGAGCCCAGCAAGATAAGCATCCAATTTGCTCTCAAAGGTGTTCAATGTAGGTGCTTGAACCACCTCCGAGGCAGGCTGTTCCAGACCCTGAGGGATCGGACAGTAAAGAAATTCTTCCTTATGTCCAGCCTGAAATGATCTTGCAGGAGTTTATAACCGTTCGACCTCGTTCCCCCAGATACTGGTGGTCACCCCTGATAAACATATAGGTGGCCATTAGATCACCCCTGAGCCTGCGCTTTTCCAAGCTTAAAGAGCCCTATGGCTCTCAGCCTGTCGTCGTAAGGTCTGTTTTCCTGACCTCTGATCATGCGCGTGGCTCTCCTCTGCATTCTCTCAAGCTTCTCCACATCCTTTTTGAATTGCGGGGCCCAAAACTGGACGCAGTACTCCAGCTGCGGTGTCACCAAAGCAGAGTACAAGGGGAGAATGACGTCCCAGGATTTGCTTGAGAAGCATCGATGGATGCAAGCCAGCGTTTTGGTCGCTTTAGTAGCCGCAGCACCGCATTGCAGGCTCATGTTCATATTGTGGTCAATGACAACCCCCAAGTCTTTCTCCCATAGTGCTAGCCAGTGTACCACTGCTGAGCCTATAAGGATGCTGCAGGGTTTTCCTCCCAAGGTGGAGAACCTTGCATTTTTCAGTGTTAAACACCATCAGGTTCTCGTCCACCCATTTGCTGAGCCTG